CGGCTCTGGCGCTGCGCAGCTTGCGGAAGCCTTCAGGGCTGACCTTGCTGCCAGGCGATTGGCTACGAGCAGCGCCAATCCCACGTTAACCCTGGCAGGGCGGGACCAAGTGCCGCGCGCCGGGTGCCCGCCCCGCCCCTCCGCACGCAAGCGCGCTGGGAGCGAAGGGGGCTGTTTCCCGCGTGGCCGGGCCTGGGCTCCAGGTGGGACGCCGCCGGCTCTCTGCTAGTGGACGGTGATTTCCTGCCTCGGGCGAGCAGGAAGGTACTGTCGTGTGGATAACGGGCGTGCATTCTTACATTCCCGTAGACTTGAGGGCCTCTCCCCACAACGCGTCCCAGTCCGAGTGCTAGCGCGAGCGCCGCCGCCTACGGTGGGCGCCTGCCCAGGGGCGGGAAGGTGAAACCAGGCTCGCGGGCGCGCACTCGTGGGTAGCATTCGCTGAACAGGTCTGAGCTGGTTAGTGTTCTCCTGTGGCCTTTGTCGCAGACCCTTCTGGGTACGGAACTGCAAAGTTGTTTTCCAGGCAGAAATGTTAATCTTGAGAGTGAGTGTGGGGCTTTATGGTATTATATATTGTGGCATCATTTAAGGGGCACTTGCAAACTTTTCCGTCAATCACGATTTTTACTGATGTCAATCTAGGTTTTTCCCGTACATTGAAGATAAGCACCCTGTGTTACATCCCGAGCATGCCAAAAATTTATATTGAGAACAGAAAAGGCTTGACTATAGAGTTTTTGAAATCATAAAATCAGATTTTCTTTACTTTGACATTACAAAAAAAATTTGTGATTTTTATTGCTGAAGTAACGCAAAAACATTAATAAATTGATACATCTAGATGTCTTCTATGTTCTATGAAAATAATTGGATTATATTTATTCTGCTCATTTAAGTTTGTCTGTGATCTCCCCACAACTTGTGAGCTCTCTGATGGCTGTTTCTCTTTTAGGTACTCTTGTCTTTACCTGACTTTCCTGGTCATCAGGATCCTTGCAGGAGTGTTCCATTTTCCTCTTGGCAAATGTGGAAGGCTGATGATCCTGGCATTTTCAGACATTCTGTGCTGGCATTTGTAAGCATGACATTAACCTTTCCACTATTCAAAAGAGATCATTGGGGACACGCTCAGAAGAATGCTGTATTCCAGGATTATGTTAGGGATATGTGGTTAATATAAAATCCCAGTCTTCAGATGTTTCTGAGCCAAGGGGAAGGAATAGACAAATAGAGTAACCCATGGTGAGTTTTGGATTCAAAATAAGGAAAAGGTTTAGTGGGGGACAGAAAGGAATGCCATCTATGGGGGCTATGGAAGGGAGAGGTGGGAGCAGAGAAGAAAGGCTTCCCTGAGGAGATGACACTTGAACCAGCTGTGGAAGGTGGTCAGAAGTCATCCTAGAGGGAACTGTGTGAGCCAAGGAATGAGTGAATGCCGTCACAGTGAGAGAGAGAAGTGTGTAGTATGACTGACAGGGTGCCTTTGGAAGATGATAGGATGAGATTAGAAAGGTAGGCAGAGATTCAGTTAAGATGATTGGATTTATCCTAAATAGCATTTGGAAACCTTAAAATATTGTGGAATAGCAGCATGATGAAACTTCAGTTACAGGAAGAACACTGCCCTGTATGTAGTTGCATTTGAGTCAAAATATCAATTAGGTGATTATTGCAGTAGTTCAAGGGAAGTGTTGAGTGTCTTAATAGAGGTGGTACAAAGGAGACAAATTTGAGAAAAATTTACATATTAAGCTACATAGACTGGGTACCAGCAAAAATTTCGAGGGTAAACTTGAGGTTTCTAATTTGGTCTGCCTGTCTGGTGGAAAAGTGTTCCAGGGCACAGCCTTTGGAGTCAGACATGCCAAGATGTCCATCTGCTATTTAATAATTGTGTAATCTTGAGTGAGTTTTCAAGCCTTTAAATCCCATTTGTGATAGAGAAGTTAGTATACATGCTAACGTTATGAGGGTCAAAAGGGATAATGTATGTGAAGTCCTATGTTAGCTGTTGTCAAATCAGAAATATGGTTAAGAAAGATAGTTAATAAGAGAAAGCGTCTGAGATCATTTTGGGACATGTTAAGTCTAAATTACCTCAAGCTCATCATAATAATGATATATTGAGGGTAGGTAAATAAGGCCCTGGAGGAAATAAGGTTCCAGAGTCCAGAAAAAAATGATGTTAGGAGATAGAGCTGTGCTAGGGGATGATATGGAGCCAGTTAAAATTAAGTGTATAATGGGATGAATTAAGGCAATGGCGATTTACTGAGGCATTCTTTCTCATGCCTACATTGATGCAAGAAAGGTGCTGATAAAATTGTTTTTAGTGGTCCTTCCTTAATATTCAGGAATTGTTTGCAATGAGTAAATTATGGTGATTGTTTTGTGTGGCATCCAACCATACATACTGTATAATTCCCTGCACTCAAAAGTGGTACAGTTCACTTCAGAGGTGTGATCAGCATCCCACAAGTTATGCAGTCAAGCACTTTGGGAATGTGTGGGGGTTGGGGAGAAGGTCAGGCCTAGTTGGGTAATCAGAAAGGATTGTGTCGCAGATGATATGGAACTGGGTCCAGACTGATAAGGAGGATTGCATTAGGAGCAAGTGGGTGTGCAAATAAGGAAGGATTGCTGACAAAGGACGATTGAAGACTTTGAGGAATAGGGAGGATAAGTGGAAGGCTAGAGGGGAAGGCAGGAAGGTAAGTTCTGTTTGAGGTGGCAGTGACACAGTTAGAAATACCTGTCTTAACTTGGGAAGAGAGAGATCAGTGTTGAGGATGTGTGAATTTAGACTTGGGTTTTAAGATACCTAAGAAGAAGGAAGAGGGTCTGGGGAATGCTCACATTTCTGTGAAGAGAGTGAAGAAAACACAGAAGTCTAAGAAGTGTGGACAAGATCCTTGGAAATGAAGTAGTATCATCAGTGACACTTGGTTCAGAGGTCAAGGAGCAGTGGGTCTTGAGAAAAGGAATTAGTGACCAAAGAGATCATTGGTGAGCTTGAAGAGATCAGAATCCCAACAGTGATTGTGGTGTAAGTCATTTTATGACCGTTTCGGAAATGACTTGGCAATAGGGAGTTGAAGACCCTAAATATAGGTTACTTAAAGATAATTGCTGAGGTAAAAATGAGGATGAATTTTTTGTTTTTGCTTTCAAGGCCAAGATGCCTGTGGGGAGAGTAGGTAAACGAACACAAGCAAAAGTGTTAGTACCTTGGACTGCTTAGGCTGCTATAACAAAATATCATGTATTATAAACAAAGGAAATGGGTTCCTCCCACTTTAAGATCACGGCAGATTCGGTGTCTGGTGAGGGCCTGCTTTCTGGCTTCTACCTGGTACCTGCTTGCTGTGCCCTCATGTGGTGGAAGGGGACACGACAGTCCTTTGGGACCTCTTAAGCGCACTAATCCCGATCATGAGGGCTTTACTTTCGTGCCCTAATCACCTCCCCAAAAGCCCTACTTCTGATACTATCACCTTAGGGGTTAGGATTTCAACATAGGAATTTTGGGGACACAAACATTCAGGCCATAGCAGTTAGGGGGGAAGAGACCTTGGCCTGACACTGAAGGAGGAAGAGTATGGGTAGAGATGCAGACATTTTTTTAAGAACCAGACGACACAGTAGGATGGATAGGTAAGGTATGATAGAGTTCATGCTGTGAATGGCCATGACCTCAGGAAACTAAAAGGATGAGGAAGACTGGAATGAAATTAGGGATGTAAGGGCAAAAAGATTTTGGAAGAGGTATTGTAGAGAATGAGACAAAGATGATATTAAAACGATTGTACCAGATTAAAGGTTGAGGTAAGGATAGGTATGTACCCCAAAGCTTTGTTGATCAGTGTTTTTCTTAGATCCTTGGGATTTTAAACTAAGGTAGAAGACCTGTGGAACCCATGGCGGAGGGATTAGCCCTCCTAGAGGCAGGGGCCGGAAATTGTGGGATTATTCACATGGGAGTTTGGAGGAACTCAATTTTATCGAAGTACCTTGACTCTTTTAGCATTTTGTGCTAAGCATAGTAATGCATTCTGTATATGCATTACTTTATTTACTTCTCACCACAGTAATAGGAGACCATTTTTGTCCCCATTTTATAGATTAAATGATTGAGTTTTAGAGTTTAATTTCCTCAGTGTTAGATAGCTAATAGTGTAAAAGCTAGGATAAAACCAAAGTAGTGTGATTTTAGAGCCTGTGCTTATAACCGATTCTATGTCCAGCACTCTGCAACAGAAGTATAGTCAAACCTACATGTGCCATTTCAGATTTTCTAGTAGTCACATTGAAAAAGTTAATATTCTGCCAGCACTGCAGCTCACTTGGCTAATCCTCCGCCTGTGGCGCTGGCACCCCAGGTTCTAGTCCCGGTTGGGGTGCCGGATTCTGTCCCGGTTGCTCCTCTTCCAGTCCAGCTCTCTGCTGTGGCCCAGGAAGGCAGTGGAGGATGGCCCAAGTGCTTGGGCCCTGCACCCACATGGGAGACCAGGAGGAAGCACCTGGCTCCTGGCTTCGGATCAGCGCAGCTCACCGGTTGTAGCGGCCATTTGAGGGGTGAACCAATGGAAAAGGGAGACCTTTCTCTCTGTCTCTCTCTCACTGTCTAACTCTGCCTGTCAAAAAAAAGTTAATATTTAATTTTTTTAGGATAAAAGTTTTAAAAAAATGTATTTTATTTGAAAGGCAGAGTTACAGAGAGAGAGGGAGAGACAGAAAGATCGTCCATCCACTGGTTCACTCCCCAATGACCACAATGGCTGGAGCTGGGCCAGGCCAAAGCCAGGAGCCAGGAGTT